GGAAATATATTATGAAGGCTGAAAAGTTACCTGTTGTTACTTTAATACTTTATTGAGAATGTAGGATGTCATCCATTTGTATGTATACAGTAATAATAAGCCACTAGAGTTTGTGTGTTACAGCGATTGCAAGAAAAGGATAAAATCACATAAAGCATATACTTGAGTAAATTCTTTTAAAAAACGGTGGGAACTAGTGTTGAGTCTGAGTCCGACTCCGAGTTCACCTGGTTGAATCCCAGTCGAGTCCAAGTCCTTTTTGGACAATTGAGTTTGAGTGTGAGACGTTTATTAATGTCTTGTCATCTTAATTTTATGTCGTTATATTGTCAGAGTCTAATACAAATCCATCCAAGTGTGTCCGAGTTCATTCTTAATTGCAGTCCGAGTCCAAGTCAAAGAAGGCTACCACAAATCTAGTGGGAACAATATTATTATTATTATTATTAAATGCACCAATGTTCAAGTGACTATGTTGAATTATGAATATATAGGCTATACATATATAGTTTAAAATTCTTGATATAGATTGTTGTGGTTGACAAGCAATGTAGCGAGTAGCAATTAAAAGGGAATTTAGGGTTAGTTCACCCCAAAATTTTAAAAAAATATCGTTCCAGAGAAAATGAGAATAAACCTCATTGGTTCTTGCAGAAGCTCAAACATGCAGAGTAACACGAGAATGAACCTCATTGGTTCTTGTGGGAGAATGAACCTCATTGGTTCTTGAGGAAGCTCAAATGCTGCATAATATACAAGAATTAACCTCATTGGTTCTTGCAGAAGCTCAAACGTGCTGCATAACATGAGAATGAACCTCATTGGTTCTTGCACGTCAAGCGAACATACTGTGTGAGATGTGTGAGTTGATGAATGTTTGTAAATAAAAGCCTAAATTAAATCTGTTCATCAAAAAAAAACAAAAAAAACATTTGATTTAAAGCGCCTTATCAGGACACCCAAGGACACTGTACAAAGCAGATAAAAAAAAAAACATTAAAACAGTAATCAATAAAATTGGCAAGACAACATTGAGGTGAAATGGGTCAGGTGGAATATGATTGTCTAAACAACAGAGTTTTGAGTTTGGATTTGAAACGATTAAATGAGTCCATGGTACGAAGATCTGGATGGAAGGAATTCCAAAGATGGGGAGCAGAGCGACCCACCAGGAGGACCTCGGTTTTTGCCGAAAAAGCAATTGTGTCTCTTCAGAAAATTCGGACTAAACCGCTCAATTCATATGGATTAGTTTTACGATCTCTTTATGAGCTTTTTAAACCATCAAAGTGGTAGTTGCGTGGACTTTCATTGGAAGAACAGAAATATCTAACTAATATTGTTGATAATCGAAAAAAAAACTTGAAATAGCCGAGAGAGATGGAGAGGAAGATAAATACTGTATGCACTTTTTAACTGCACCTCTTCGCCGACTTCTCACATATCTTGTAGGTCAAAAGAAATTGTGTTTGCAACAAATACAGAGACTCATCTGACTTTTGAAACAGGTGCTCTTTAACCTTGCTGTAGGCTGTTAGTTTCTTTCAAACTGATGTGTGCTCTTGAACAACATTTTAAGATAGATAACCTGAGAGTAAACCTGAAGCTGCAGATAGAGTTGTTGTTTTTTCTCAGCTGAAATGAAGCTGATCAGTTATTGCCTTTGAGGCAATGATTTGAAGAACATTCTTGTTCTTCTATTAAACACCTTTACCACTTTGATGAAAGTAAACTTAATAAAAAAACAAAAAACAAAAAAAAAAACAATCGGAACTGAAGTGAGACATTTTTTCAAAGGGATATTTAATCCAAAAATGAAAATTCTGTAATCATAATATTCATCCTCATATGTTTAAAAATGTGCAAGACTGTATTTATAGTATGTGCAACCTGCTCTTTTCCATACAATGAAAGTGAATGGTGACCACGGCATGTCAATTTTAAGTTATTAATGACTTAACTTTTGGTTTGGTTTCAGACCACTTTTTACATTTTTATGAGGCTTTTTTGTATCGCGGTCTACTTTCGTTAAATGGAAAAGAGCAGCTTGGACATTTTTATATCTCCTTTTGTGTTCCTTAAAGCTAGCAGACATCAATTCAGAATGCAAAGCATTTCACAATAAATGATAACATTCTATGGAAAAATATAACTACAGGCAAATCCATACTCCTATCACATGTTTACCTTAACTACCCTTCAACCCCCGGACTAGTTTTTCTGTCAGGCTTTGTCTTATTCAACACGGCAGTCATAAGCAAATACAGCCGCTGTGTTCATGGGAATTAGATGAATCAGGGAGCCCAGGAGCTTGAAGTCATCTCATGAGGTTTGACAAGCATGACCAGGCACAAGCCATTGGCTCCTTGGACACCAGCAGATCCTGAAAGATATGTTGTATTAATAAAGCCTGCAGCATCTAACCCACTTTTTTATGGTGCGGTTTTAGTTTAGATACCATTCAGTTAAAACTGTAAAACAAATAACAGCATGACCATTCTCTAAAATAATGTTTGCTTCGTTTGACACAGCACACCTTAATTGGAACATTATCTGATTTTCCTGAAAATCAGGAAAAAATGTGAGCCTGTAGGCGGGTCCACAACGCGCGCATATACACTCTGCTTATTACACACACAGGGACACGCAGCATCACACAAACATGCCAAATATATTAAAAATAAAAGGATTACAAAAGATTATCTATTATACATAAAGATATGGTGGAATCCGGCTTGTTAACCTCGCGCACGAGCAGATCCGTTTGCTTTTTGGAGGCGCGTTCGGTCTTTCTGCTTGCAAATTCCGTCATGTAAATAGTAATCCGCCATGGGGGGAGCGCAACTGGCTTTTAAAGGGAATGGGAAATTACACTCTGATTGGGTTTTTGCACGTTACGCCCAAAACACACCCATTACTCATTTATAGAATAGGGACTACTCTTTTAGACCATGCGCTGGGCGCACCAACCATTTTTCTCATCGCTAAACTAGCAAAAGTGGATTCGGACACGCCCTAACTGCACTTGCGCCGTGCGCTTTAGACCATGAGCTTAGATCGTTAAAATAGGGCCCCTGAAGTTTTTTTTTTTTTTACTCTTCTACCAGGATGAGCTTAAAATGACTAGCAAAATTTAAATAATTGGAAATGACAGTTCAGCAGAATCAGTGTTTCTTTCTCTCTTTTTTTTACTGTATAGATTATTCTGAAAAGGAAAATGAAAGGATGGCAGAGGAGTATGTGTTGAAAAGAGAGCACATCAATATTCTGAGACTGACCTATTTTCCAAATGCACTTTATAATTAAAAAAAAGAAAAAAGAATAGCAGTTTGATTAAAAGATAAGCAAATGTAAGGGAAGAGGGGGAGATCAGTAAGACAATTATTTACATTTGTACACATAGCCTTGGATTCATGTGATTTTTTTATGAGAGGAAGATAGGTAAATATTTTAGTTTCGATAGGTGACTGGTTTAGTATAGAGTAACGATATACCCACATGTAAATAGCCTGGGGTTGTTATACCTTAACTTGGGTTGTTCATTGTGAAAATTAGAGAACTTGGTGTATAGTGACAGATTTTCTAATATGCAATAGGAAATATTTTTGCAACTGTCTTAATGTGCAAATTTAAAGGGATTAAATCAACCAAATATGGAAATATTTTAAATTATAATGGCATTTAAGTACAGTGTAAACTGTAATATAGTATATAGTGTAACTGTTTGTGCCATATAATCTACATATTTCATAGCAGTCCATAGTTTAAAAAAGAAAATTGTCATGTGACTTGTTTTTAGGTTTTAATCTGTTGTTATTGCAATTGTCAGTAAAATTCAAAATTCATTCTAAGTTTATTTTACTTCCCTAAAGGTTTTATTTGCCTTGTTGAACTTGTTCAGCAGTTTTATTTCAGATTCAATAATATTGATTAAAAGAAAACAACGAATGTGTTTATCTCAGAGGCTGGAATGATGACAAATCACAAGATATGGAAGAATGGGAATACAGCAAAGACAACCATTTTTTTTAAATTAAAAATGACTAGAGAGTCATGGAGAAATAGGGATAAATGGGGTGAAAGGGAGGTCAGGGGTGTCACAGTGATCACAATGTCTTGGGTCACAAATTTGGCTTTATTAGAGCATCTAAAGCAAGATTAGCAATAATAAAAGCATAAGATCAATGATGGCATTTTAGAAACTAACACAAATTTTGTTCACAATGATGGATCTCCCATCAGAAGAGCCGATTAGTAGAGATATAGAGCTTGTCACAGACATGAATGACAAACAAACGCATAAAACAATGCTATCGTCATATATCCACTCATTCAGTTATGCCTCATTTCTTCATTTCTCTTTATTCTCAGGCAAAATGAAAGTAGCAAGAGAGGACTGCACAGATGAGACTCATCTAGATGGTTCCAACATTTATAAATACAGCAATGTTTGTCACATAGTGGCAACTGAAATAAATCAACATGTTTTATGAAAAAGAATGTACAACAGACATATGCAACCTATCTAAATTAGTCACCTATCACTTCATGCTGTAAATAATATGGCTTGCCTGAGATAAGATAATGTGTCATTTTATTTTGTAAAACAATTGTTAAGCAACCATTTTTTTCAGCTGATAAACTTGCAACTGATGGATTTTTCTGGTCTGATAACATTCCATGGTCTGTAACAATTTAAATGTTTTCGTTTGTGTTATGAATTTATCATTGCCAGATCAGCCTTATCGGTCACAGAGGAGCTTTTATTGAATTTAAAGGACGCCTGATGAATTAATTAGATAACCCCTTTCCATTGTTATCATAGTTTGTTTGTTATAGACAATTCAGAGTTTCTTCTGACAAGCCACGTGTCACCCTGTGGTACTATAACCTCTTTTGTGCGTCTCAGGTATGACTATGCTATTACTGTTGATGTTACCTCCCTGTCCCCGCCCATGTTCGCTCGTCGTTCCGCATGACCCGCGCGCAGAGTACAAGGTAGAAAACAACGCTGGCCCTTTAAGACAGGAGTGATCGCTCGGCTGGCGACCGTTCCGTGGTATTATCGATCGAGCTACCAACACACATGAGATAGATGGAATTATAACAATGGAATATCACTGCGTTCTGTTTACTGTTTTGTTGCAGTTAATCATCCAACCAGGTAGGATGAGTTTTTATCGTTTATTGGTCCTGTATGATCTCACAATGCTTTCCAAGTTTAGAGGAAAGATTCCAGAAAGTTGTTCATTGAAGACTAGGGATGTATATTGCACTTGCTGTAGATGTGAGGCAGCCTTGTTGAATTATTCTTTATGGCTATAATTCAAAACAAAACGGATATGCTACCATTCATAGAATAATGTATGGACCTGTTGCTTTTCTAGATGTAGGTTTTTTATATAGAATCACAATTTTGGCTGAACTAGACGACCCCATGTGTGCTCTCTTATTTTCCCTCATGATGAATATCACTGTCCATAAGGAGCTTTCGCACCTCGGTCCACCTTCTGCCAGTGAAGAACTCCTCTCTCCAGTTGAAAACTGAACATTAAACATTCTAATGCACGAGAACTCCCACTGATATTCTCACGAATCGTATCCTCTTCACTTGCCGTGTGGAGGCTCTACATACCATCAATTTAAGGGGTTAGGGGATCATTGAAATAAGATACTGATCCGGGGAGCTGCAGGTGAGAATGTAAAGTAAAGCCGATCCTCGCGCGCTCCTCTCAATTATTTATCACTCAGGCTCGCGCGTGCCCGTCTTCGCGTCAAGTGTAGGAATACGCTTGTTTCAGGTATAATTAGCGAGCGATGTGAAGGAAAGAGTATTAACGCTGAACAAAAATTGCACTTTGATATGATTAACTTTATATAGTTCAGATATGCTGGATAAGAACTTGGGGGGCTTGACTCCGCTATGCAAGCCCTAAAACCCCCAATAGGTGTTTAGAAAAAAATCCGGATCTTACAGAATATGAAACATTATAGCCTACACGTTATAGCCTGCAACTTTTTCATAACCAAAAAGCGGCAAACTTCATCTGAGGAGGTGGCAGTTCGAGCATGTTACGTTAGGATCAATTAAACAAGTCGTGGTGGTTTTTTTAAATAGCCTACTTCGTTAGAGATTCACGTCACGCTTATGTTTAAGACGTCTTCATAATTGTTTCGCCAAACGTCGCACGCTCAACATATTGAGCCCCAATCTATTGCATCTATATGACGGTACTGAAATGACTATGTAGCCTAGTACGGTTCATTTGTACAGTTTTTATATGGGTTTTCATTTGCAGTTAATTTTTATCTTATCCTACCAGCATGGATAGCTGTTAGCCTAGGCTATGATCGTCAATTCCAAAAGCCAGAGAAGTTGTTTTCATGCTGCTTGACTTTTTCTTTGCCTGCGCATGCTGCACCTCATGGTCGTATCAGATGGTCTTTTGTGGTGCTCAGAAAGAAAAAGATGAGGGGCGACTCGAGTCATTAGCTGGACTGCATCTGTTAACTGCCCATGCGCATCACGTGTTCAAACTTTTATCCTTAAAACTCGTGCATGGAAAATAAACCGCTTGTTGTCCTTTCAGCTGCTGTAATAAAGATGTTTTTATGTGACAAATTTAAGTTTCCAAAAAAGGAACATATAAGCTAGCTTTCCTTTTTTATATTTTGGAAAAAAAATATGTTATGTTCACTAATTTTAATTTCACCACAATGTGTTAGGCTACTGTGTATGGAGAAACCCGGTTATGCAAACCCAGGTTTAAAGTGAGCGTGGACAATTACTGAACACATGCGGTAAACTTTTTCTGTGGTTTTGGCATGAATCTGAAGATCAACTTTGTAACGCCAGAGGGCTTCAGCGCTCAAGTGACTATTTTGCATCGGGTTCCTTCAAACAAATAGCGATACGGGCTTTCACATAGCCTAATAACAGCCATGAGAAAATCATTTACATGGAAATATAAATAGGCTAGTTAACAGTAGAGTGCTCTGATATAGGCATGGGCCTACACTATTTGAATGAAATATAGAAATTACGTCAGAAGTCAGTATTCTGGTGGGTGTTTGAATGGAGGTGGTCGTGCTATGTTCGGGCGAGTGCCCCTTGTGGCTGACGGTGGTGTCGTGAGTTACGAAACAACAGCCAGATATACATTTTAGTACTTTTATCTAATTTAAACATTGAAAAATAAATTGATGTGATTTACTTTGAAACAATTAGATTTTTAAATAGAACAACTAAAATAGTATTTTCTTGTAGAACATACTCCAATAATCTTTTTTTACAGTGTACAATTTCTTAAAAATGTATAAAACTATATAGGCCTATATATATATATATATATATAATACAAGTGTGAGCAGAGAACACGCACAGACCTTTGTGGTCAACGTGTTTTCACCACATCATGTTCCTGGATCAACATCTTTGCTGATCCTGGAACAACTTCAAATCAACCAATCAGATTTGAGGGACAGTTTATAGTTTATGTGAAGTTTAGTTAGACTTACAACCACAGGGTTAGGTGCTTCTACATCAGTGTTATTCACCTATCATTTCCCTCTGATTTTAGTGATAATATATAGGCTATAAGTGTGTCTGTATGTATGTGCTTATATTAAAATATATAAATAACAAATACTTAATAATAAAAATAATAAAAAATAAAGGGAGCAAGAGTAAGCAGTGAGCAAAGGGCAAAAGTGCAAGTAAACATCTGTTTGGCAGGTAAAGGATTGCATGGATACTCAAAGATGATGTAGTAATAATAATGTGTACTCTTGGTTCCTGGAAACTGGTTAATACATTGTTTTAAACGGTCATTGCTTTCTGTAGTTATGATGGATATAGGCAAATTGAGGCAATCACGATTGCCTTTAATTTAACTTGGAGAGGTGGGAGCAACTTAAATGTGAAGGAAAATTATTTAAAAAGGGAAAATGTGTCAATGGTAATGTCTTCAAAATGTGACCAAATAAGCAAATGTGACATATTTGCATCTACTTCTTTCTTTCTTGTTTATAAGGAGCTTTTCTATTTTTTTTCTTTTTTTCTTTCTTTTTTTTTTTTCTGAGAAGATGAGGGACAGGGGGTTGGGGGGTATTCAAGGGCTTCCATAGTTGCTTCAGGCTAAAATGAGATAACATGATAAAAACGTGAACTGTGGTTTAGCCTGATGAGTAGCTTACCCTGATGCAAACTGTCACTCTATGCCACGGAAAAGGCATCTGCAAAGTCAGGTGTGTTTTCCAGAGAAACCCCTAACAGAACAACTGTTAATGTTGACTTGTTTTCTCCAGTGAACACTGTCAACATCAAAATGACTAATAAGAATCACTGCATGAAAGAAAAGCCTTAAACAATAACAAGACCAATTGGTCACACACACACATAGCACCTAACCGTTTCTCTGGTAAATATTTAAACCATGCAAAGAGAGCTTTTATCTAATCGCGCCATTTTGACACCATTATGAGTTTTTAAAAAAGAGGTGATGTAAAGGAACTGAATTTTCACTCAAGCTAATGATGCCTGATAAAGATGACAGGATGCGAGATTATTAATGTTCGGACCTGGATGCATTTTTAAAATTCAAACCCCATTCTATTTTCTACTGCAGCCTTTTTTCGCAAAATGTTTGCTTTTCTCCAATTTCCAATTTTCCAAACCTCGCCATATCTGACTCTCTCAGAAAAAAATATATTTTACTGCCATGCTACATAGGGTTTTCCGGTTTGATTATTTTCCTCTTTTACATTCCTTACTTTTTTCCCCTTTTCTTCGCATATTTTCACCATTCTCCCTGTCATATGGGGAGGGGGAGGATAATGACTCTTTTGTTGGTTTAAAACACTAATCTGTTGCTTTTAAGCCTTGTAGCTGTATAAGACAACTCAGCACTTTGAATGGAGAATGATGCTGTACCAACCAAGAATTAGCACAGCAATATATTTTTTTCCCCTTGTAGACTTTTGTAGAATTTTTCTAATGTCAAATTACCATTTCTAGAGAAATTAGAATGAGAGGAACTCGGAAGACATACTTTTTTGGATTGTTAAGTTGTGAAACTGTCTATTTCACACCATTAACTGTCATTTATGCAACTTACTTGAGAGGGATTTGATTTGTATGTGTGTATAAATGTGTATGTGCTTGGTATATTCTGTTTATCAATGTTGCTGTTTTTTTTTATTTTGCAAAATCAGTAGGCCTACCATAGTATACTGGCGAGTCAAATGCATTTGACAAAATACAATGAAGTCTGCAGAGCTTCATAACTTGTCATGTTAACTTTAGAAATAATCTATCCTCTTGCAAGTGTATTAAATGTTAAACTTCTTTATCTTCCAGCTGTGTGCCATGTTCACATTCTTGTTTCCTCTCAGGCAGGTCCAGGCCCACGATCACCCCAGACGGACCCTGGCTCACAGTACCACTGAACGGCGACTTCAGTTTGCGCTGCCAGAGCAACAGTTCAGTGCGCTGGATGCGAGAAGACCGTCCCACGCGAACCCTGAAGGAGGAACAAAGGCAGGGTCAACTAACAGTTCTTAAAATGAGCAAAGCAGGCCCTCAACACATGGGCAAATATTCATGCTGTGAGGAGACTGGTGAAAAGAGCTCCATCTATGTGTATGTAAAAGGTAGGTCAGCCTTTTGCATTTGGGAGTATCTTAATCGTGTGTAGTAAATTGTCTTGGCTGCGTGACATGTCTGTAGGGCAGTATTTAAAGTATTATTGAGGAGCCATCCTTTATGTGTTTACCTTGTCTTGTTATACTTTCGTGTGAGTGCAGCTACTGTCTATTTTATGTGTGTACAAGCCTGTTGGCAACAGTATATGTGTGACTACATACTGCATAGTAGACAAACTGTATAGGTAATGTGTCTGCAACGTTACGCTATGTGTTTCCATGATCTAGTACTTTCTAACACTTTTTGTGCTTCATCTTTGTCTTTCTCTCTCGCTCTCCCTCTCTTTCTATGAACACACACTCCAGCATCTCTTATCTTCCTGTGTGGTTCCATATTATGCCAAAAACACACTTTAGATGCCCTAAATACCCGCAATCAACTCTCTGTATTCACCTGTTTCTTGCATGGCCTTTAACATATACATCTATGTCATGTGTTATTTCATGCATGTTCTTATAATCCCATATAATAGAATCTTCAAATTGATCCCTGGAAGTGGACAGTTTTACATGATTTTACAAATGTTAACACTGCAGATGTGGGTTACTTTTATTTGTTTATTAGGTATGATGGAGGGTAGTTTTCACTTTCACTCTATTTGTGACACTCTTTCTCTTTCTCTGAGCTGCAATGTCATGATCTAAGCCCCATTGGTTGTGTTTCATTGGTTTTTGATTTAGCATTCCTCTCAGCAGATCCTGAAAATCCCTTCAGGAGGAGCATCGTGTTTGACATTGTTGCGGGAGAAGGAGAGACTGCCACGATCCCATGCTTGGCCACAGACCCAAATATGATGGAGTTGCACCTGCAGAAATGTGACGGACAGCCCCTTCCCAACAGCCTGCGATATTCCTCCAGCATTGAGGCGGGCGTGGTGTTGGAAGCTGTTAGGAAGGACTTTGAGGGATGTTACGTCTGCGTCGGGACTCTAGAAGGTGCCACGGTTAAATCCGGACAATATCTACTTAATGTCCGACTTGGTGAGAAAAAAGAGAGGCATTTATACATATTAGGGCTGTCAATTTAGAGTCATTTTCTTGAACAATAATGAATAAAAAAACACAATGCAAATTTATTCAAGCTTGAAGTTCCATCTTCCCAAGAATGGGCAGCAGAGAATGAGTTCATTTATCCATTCATGGATATGCTCCTGCGTTCAAAGAGGATGGTATAGGCCTACGCACATTACCATTCAAAGTTTGGCATCAATGCGATTTTTCTAAAGAAATTAATATTGTACTATTATTCAGCAAGGATGCATTCAATTAATCAGAAGTGACAGTAAAGACATTTATATGTTACAGAATATTATTTCTAATAAACTCTGTTCATTGAACTTTCTATTCATCAAAGAATCCTAACAAATGGATCCCAGTTTCCACAAAAATGTTTTCAACATTGATAATAATAAGAAATGTTTCTTGAGCAGCATATTAGAATGATTTTGATGAAATTATAACAATATTTGATAATATTTCTGTTTTTAAACAAATAAATGCAGTCTTGGTGAGCATAAGAGACCTCTTACAAAAACATTAAAACATCTTACCAACCCCAAACGTTTGAATGGTAGTTTATAGACTGATTGATTAATTAATCGCCATATCATATAATTAGTTTGATTAAAAATGTAATTGATTGCCAGTCCAAATACAATAACAGTTGGACACAGACAGATACCAGACATGTGCATGTCACCCCACTATACTTGTTCTTCCTTTCCCACATATTCCTGCTGCTTAGATACAATGCATCATGGTTCTTTGCTTTTAGTTCCAGGTGCGCCTCCTCTGATCACACTAGCTCAGCCTCAAAGAGTGCTGCTTACCCAGGGGGAAAAGCTCTCCCTATCCTGCTCCACCTCAAATGTCAACAGCGACATCACAATCAAGTGGAAGGCTCCACGCGGAGTGGTAAGACAAAAACTAACCAGCTCTCACATATTTACCTGAGCACACCGTGACACTCTTCATGACCACAACACACACATACAGTACATACTGCAGGCTTTATTATTGTAAACACATCAACCGCTTTAAATCAATCAAGTAAAACCAATGTTTACAAAAGCATACCTATAGAAAAGCATACAGTAGGTATGGGTGCACGTCCCAGTTAACCTACTTAATGTGCTAATGTGTTTGTAGACTGAGTATGAGAATTTATATGTTTATATGTATGTTTTCTTGATATTATGCCCAGAGGCAAATTGGACCTTAATTGATTTGTATTTGAATTGAGGTAGCAAACGGGATGCAGAATTTCAAAACCAAGTAGAATTAAAACTAACTGAAATTCAACAGACATTTTTAAATATGGAAAACTTTGAACGTTGTTAAAAGCCTTGTTTAAAAGATTTGAGAACATTTTGAAGAGATGGATAGATGGATAGACAGATGGATGGACAGGTCCTCAGTCTAGCATTGAGACTAAACTGGCATCAGAGACTGATATTTGAGAGATGAATAACACACTTAGTTTCATATAAAGGTTATAAAAACAGCCATATAGACAACCACAAGTACTTTACCCAAGACAAGCTCTATGCCCCATCTCTCCAGAGTTGCCCAATCAGCTTTGTGTCTGTTTTCTTTCTGCATGTGCCAAGCAACCGTCAGTGCAGCTGACCTCGCGTCTCCTGACTGAGCCTATTTCTCACGTGAGGACCGCCATCCTCAGCCTGGGGTCCGTGACGATGCAGGATGCAGGGAGTTACAACTGTGAGGCCATGAACGAAAGAGGGACCAGTGCAAAGCCGGTCTGGGTCGACATCTATGGTAGGTCTCTGTTGTTTCAAACACCATTTTCAATTTTAAAAACTATGGGTTGCACTCTATTTTAAGATCCTTGTTACAGTGCAACTACGTATTTTAAGTACTGAGTAATATTAATGAACAGCATGTGCTTACTATGTAATTAGAGTTAGCGTTTGAATTAGGTTATTTGCACATAGTTATGCATAATTTACTGTTATTACTAAGTACATGTCACACTTGTAAGAAGGACACTGCGTGACATAAATTGTTATCAAACAATCATGAGACTATTTATTAAGACTGTTTCAAAGGATAAAATTATGTTTTTATGTGTTTGTGTGTGTAGATAAAGGCTTTATTAACCTAACAAGTGTGAATAACAGCACGAAGAGAGTGCGCGCTGGAGAAAGTCTGTCCCTGCGTGTGGTAATGGACGCTTACCCGAAACCTCATACGTTTTCCTGGAGCTACAGTGGTGTAAAACTAACCAATACCACTGATCATGTCATTACCATCCGGTCACATGGGAATAGGTATGATTTTGTAAATCAAAAAATGTTTTTTTACTCCTAACATTTCTTGTTTTTCATATGTAACATTTGCTAAGGATGTGCATCATATTTGGTACCATATCAGTTGTCAGGACAATATTAGTTTTTTATTATTATTGGAAATATTTGTTGATATTGTGCATTTAATTGTGGTGTGTTTTTAAATTTAGATCATCTTTGCCATCATGTAACGCTCAGTTATAATTAATTTTTAAAAACACTAATAATTTAAAAGCATCTTTAGCATCTCAATATCAATTTTTTTTTTTTAACTGTGCATTATAATGTTGTGAAGCCTACATTCACTTGTGACATTTAAAGTGATTGTTTTTTTGTTTTTTTAAAAGGTTAACATAGGTTCCATAACATGAAAATAATTATGGGCTCATCAGTATCGACCAGAATTTCAATACCAGTGCATCCCACATATTGTGCAAAATCCACAAGTTATTCCATTAATTCAATGAACTGAAAGATAAGTAATTTTTTCTCTTTATTCAACAGTTACACCAGCGAGCTGAAACTAGTGCGTCTCAAGGTGTCAGAAAGCGGCGTTTACACCTTTTCATGCTCAAACCGAGACGCAAATGTCCATCAAACGTTCGAAGTCCATGTCATAAGTGAGTGAAAAAATTGAATGCAAATGGCAAATATTTGCACTTTCCACTTGCCAGAAAAGAGCATAGAACGTATGTGATTATGACTTTTTTGTGTGTATTTTTGTTCAGTAGTAATCAGTCATATTTCTTGGGCATTGTGCTGGATAAAAGAACTTAATTGTCTATGTAAGACCCTGGCTTAAAACCCACTTACAATAGTAGAGGCCATGTAAGAACAGATATGAAAGGACTGGCCTTCAAGACTGCAAATAAGACCTTTTATCATTATCATTTATCCTCAATCATTTTCTTTTAAATTAGAATTATTGATCACCCATTATAAATGGATACCATTTTTCCTCAAACAGGTCTCCCATTCAACCCACATTTTAAACGGTGAAATATTTATTATCTGGCATTTTAGGTCAATTAATCAATATTTTAGAAAGTAATCGCAAATGAGACAGCTGTACAAACATCCATCCCACGAACCAGAATTGTAAAACTGACCCTGAATTAATCTTTTACTGTTAGGTAAACCACAGATTGTGTCCTATGAGGGGCCGATTGATGGACAGGTGCGCTGTGTTGCAGAGGGTTACCCCACTCCTCAGATCAAGTGGTATTACTGTGACCAACCCCATTCCAGGTACGTGGCTTTCTACAGTTTTGTTAGTTTCGAATACACCCACAATTTTGGAAATGTTCCTACAATGGGCTTCCAAAGTTGGTTTCCAAAATTAGCGGTACCTCCCTTGAGCAGTGTGAACATATTAGCCTCTCAAGACCAAGGGTACATTGTGATACAGCGTGGATTAGCCACCTACCATTAACTTGATGTTTGATGATTGGACAACAAAGCTTTAGCCAATTATTGATGGGGATAAGCAATTTGACTCTGTCATGATTGTGACTTCACAAAAGCGATTGGTTGCTATCAGTCTTGTGGCAACACCTGACAGCATGGGAACAACCCGCTCCCATGGTTTGTGTTTATTCTTGGATAGTAACAGTGTTGACAGAACACCTTAGCACAGACTTAGATCACAAGCTTATCCAATCAATTCCTCATGGTGATCAAATCCGATCAGGATAAGATGACCTGCTTCAATTTGAGCATACTGTATAACCATGCAGTGCAATTTGTCTTTTGATCTTGTTTGTGTGATGCTTGCTTTATCTGTCACCGGTTTGGTGGTTTTCTCAGCATTCCACTGTTGAGAAACATGATGAGAGGTTTCCACCAAGAAGCTATTTTGTAAAAATCCATCACAGACCCTGAATGCAGCGAGAGATGCTTATTATTATCCTTAGAGCTTAAAAAGTTATGTCTCTTGATATGCAATGGTGCTTAACATTTGATCTTAAGATCTACCTGAAATGTAAATTGACCCTACATGCTCCTGGTGTTATTGTGAACAATTCATGGGTGCATTTTACTCCAAAGAAAAATGTTAGGCTTCGGAATATTTCCTCAAAATATAAAATGGGTTGCAATGGGCAGTTAATTTGACTTTAAAGCAGGGCTATTATCGTTAAGGAAATCTAAAAAATAAAAACATTTTTGTTAATTGAAATAAAGTTGAATTTAACTAAAATATAAATATTACATGAAAAATTAAAACCAACATATTCTGCAACTAACTGAAATAAGCTGACTCATTAAATTTACTAACTGGATATAAATTAAAACTAAAATTGAAATAAAAACTAAAGAAATCCTAAAGTAATATTTAAATATAAATAAAAACTAATACAAATGACAAATTTACCAAAACAAATGAACTAAAAACTGAAAATGAATACTTAAATATATAAGTAAAATCTACTTCATAATGTTAATAAAAACTATAGTTGTATATAAATAATACTAAAATAACACTGCTTTAAAGGCCTACTGAATATTATCTTGAATATTAGGGTTATGAGCTTTTTTTAATTACATTTTTTAAACATATTTAGGACTGTGCACTGAAAGACCTTTTTTAGTAGAATTATTTTTCAATAGTTCCTTTTATGCAGTGTTTCTGGGAAACAGTTCTACGAAGTAATTACATGTTCTTGAGAAGTGCAAGATCAAGAATTTACGACTGTGTTGCATGCTTCCTCAGGTGCTCTAATTTGCTGAATGCCACTCAGGAGGAGGAGGATGTTGTCACTGTAACCATGACAAGTCCTCCCTTTGGGAAAGGCGCAGTGGAGAGCCGTCTAAACATAACCAAGAACAATTATGCCACCCTTGAATGTGTGGCATCTGCCAATGGGGAAATCGTGTACACTCTGTTTTCCATCAGTGGTGAGCAAATAACTTCCCAAATCACACACACACACACACACATACACACCCCAGTACATCCCACTTCAGACATTGACTGAAGACTCTTGTTTGTAATTACTAAGTCTCAGCCTCAGACGACTCCGCCTACAGTCTGTTTGCTGAACCTCTAATCCATACTACTCTCAAAACTGGAAAGCACTTTCATTATCGGCAGGATATAATCTGGTTGGCTGATTTATGCAACTTCTGAAAGTTAGGGCACATTGCAGGTGTTTTTTTATTTACCTGAATATATCTGAGATTTGATTTTATGAATTCAGAAACTGCTTCTTTGTTGGACCTTTGCATATCATACTCGGTTACTATCGTAACCTCGGTTCCCTGAGAGTAGGGAACGAGTATTGCGTAGCTATACGCAGTGGGGTAGCGTGGCCGGGGAAAACTCCTTTTCCTTAAAATTCTGAAGCTTAAAATGTAAAACACATTTCGAAGCTGCACAGCTAGCACAGTGAGTGTCTGGCTCACTCATTGGCTGTGCTGCGGCAACTGCACCTTCAATGGCGCGGGCGCCTCCAACGTGTGAGCCAATGAGCTAGCATTACGACATACGCGTCAGAGCCCCCGCCAAAGGGGGCGTGGCCAGAGCCCATAAAAGCCCCCCGAAATAGCCATTATAGCAGATTACATCGACTGAAGCGACATACTGCCATGATACTCAGTCCGGCCGGCTACGCAATACTCGTTCCCATACTCTCAGGGAACCGAGGTTACGATAGTAACCGAGTATGTTCCCTTTCGAGAACGGTCACTTCGTATTGCGTAGCTATACGCAGTGAGGACGCCATGTAAAACGCCGCACAGAGTAGCTGGTTGAAACTGCGGCTCGAGAACTCTGAGCCTACAGAACCAGCCAGAGACCAATATATATTAAGAAGACCGGACACCGTCGGGCCTCATAATATAGACATATATACATTAAATGCCCATACATCCATATTCAACCCAATAACTTAAGACCAGACACCGTCGGGTCTTTTATATAAAGGGATATCATAACTGGCAAGAGGCGGGTTTTATAATGAATGAATGTGTGCTTATGACATTGACATATTATGTAGATAAGACCGGACACATGTCGGGTCCAAATCATACAGAAAAGACCCCTGCCTGCAGGGAAGGTACCTCCATGTTATTAAATTTCACAAACGTAGAAGGCGAGGACCAACCGGCCACCGCACAAATATCGTGAATGGGAAACCCAGAAGACCAATCCCAAGACGAGGCCATGCCTCTAGTCGAATGAGCTCTAGTCCCAATAGGGCAAACCTGACCCACTGAGGTGTATGCCAGAGAAATAGCATCTACTATCCATCTGGATATTCTTTGCTTTGTGACAGGAGACCCCTTGGACCAACCACCAAAGTAGACAAAAAGCTGTTCTGAATGTCTAAAAGATGCGAAACGCTCCAGATATATTCTCAATGCTCTGACAGGACAGAGTAGATTAGCCTCCCCGTCCTCTGCGGAAGAGCCAATAAAGTGATCACCTACGCTTTAAACGGAGTTGAAAGCACTTTAGGCACATAGCCGTGTCTGGGTTTGAGAACGACCTTCGAGTCGACGACACCAAACTCCAAACAAGAGGGGCTCACAGAGACCGTAACAGTTCGGTTCTCGACTGAGCTAGAATCAGCCAATCGTCGAGATAATTCAGCACGCGCACCCCTTGAAGCCTCAGGGGGGAGAGCGCCGCGTCCATGCACTTCGTGAACGTACGGGGTGCAAGAGACAGGCCGAAGGGTAGAACTGTGTACTGATAAGCCTGACCCTCGAAGGCGAATCTCAAGAATGTCCTGTGACGGGGGACTATCTGAATGTGAAAGTAAGCGCCTTTCGTAAGTCACGGAAAGACTCAGGTTCCGGGCCAGTCTTGTCCTCCAGCTGGTCTCCCTCGAACAGAACCGGAGACGGTGTCTGGGTAGGAGAAAGCGAAGCACGCGAGGACATGGCCAGCGTGGGTTCGCTAACTTCCAGAACTCAGGTTGATGCTGGCTGCGGCGCTTCTTTTTCATTGGCCGAAGTAGAGCGGGAAAAGGAAGGGAAGGGAAAGCGGCGTCGCCATCTTGCGAGAGAGCTAGCCGCGACCGCAGCGTCGAGACGGGCATGCCTTCACAAACTGAGCATCCCCCTGCAGAAAGTGCAGCTTGAGCATGGGAGGTTCCCAGGCACGTGATGCACTTAGCATGTCCGTCGGCCTCGTGCAGAAGAGAGCCGCACGTGGCGCATAAAGAGCGAGTCATTTGGAACAAAGCTCGCGTTTCCTAAAAGCAAAGATAGCAAAGGATATGCATAGGTCGCCAGATAGCGACAGCAGAGAGGCGACAGGGGAAGACGGCGTCTCAGACGAAGGCGAAATCCGCTGTAGTGATGCACACTCTAACTGTATAAGCTGGATTCGACGGCGAAAGCTTTCAGAGGACTCAGAGACGTGAAGTATGTCGCTGAAGGAGATGAATCTGCTATAATGGCTATTTCGGGGGCTTTTATGGGCTCTGGCCACGCCCCCTTTGGAGGGCTCTGACGCGTATGTCGTAATGCTAGCTCATTGGCTCACACGTTGGAGGCGCCCGCGCCATTGAAGGTGCAGTTGCCGCAGCACAGCCCATGAGTGAGCCAGACACTCACTGTGCTAGCTGTGCAGCTGCGAAATGCGTTTTACATTTTAAGCTTCAGAATTTTGAGGAAAAGGAGTTTTCCCCGGCCACGCTATCCCACCGCGTATAGCTACGCAATACGAAGTGACCGTTCTCGAAAGGGAACACATACACGCATACTGTCCCAGTGTGGCATGTATAGGTTATACTCATTTGTCACAGGTCTGGGTGTGTGTCTTTGCTTTGGTGTGCTAGTAGTAAACTATTCTGTTAATGTTGTTGACCTGTTTGTTTTTGGGTTGTCTTCCATCGTTGACTCTGAAGGTGTGTCTCGGTTCTCTCCCTAGTTAAGTAGTCATTGCACTGGCCAGGGAGTCAGTCTGTCCCTGTCCCACGGTATATTTCTAATGTGCATGAAAAGAAAACAATCCTGCAAACTTGAAGTATTATACATGAATTAGTGTTAAGGCCCGTTCACACCAATGACGATAACTATAAAGATAACGATAAAGAAATAGTTCTAAAAGTCTTTTTCAATATTAAAGAATAGCAGAGATCACACCACAGCTATAACGATAACGGCACATAGAAATGATATCGTTGGAATCGCTTTCAGAACGATTTTATCCAGCTGATGAATGATAAAAACATTGAGATCCAATCAGAATCCTGAGCTCGAGCATTTAAATTGACAGGCAAGAACGTGCTTAACATAAAAAAGAATGATATCGTCCGCCGGTGTGGACACCAATAAAGTTATCGTTCTTGGTGTGAACCGGCCTTTAGAAGAAGATAAATGACCACACATTTTATTTGATTTTTTTAATTTGATTTGTTAATTTATGCATGTTCTACCATTTTGCAGTAAGGTATGAATACTTATATTTTAATCATTTTGTGATTTTATTTTATTTTATTTGTTTTAATGTATGCCCTTATGTCATTATTGTTCAAAAGTTTGGGGTAAGATTTTGATTATGCTCACCAAATCTGCATTTATTTTATCAAATAAAAAAGAATAAAAACAGGTGCATTGTGAAATACTTTTACAATTTAAAATAACTGTTTTCTATTTTGATATAATTTAAGTATGTAATTCATTTATTCATAACAAAGATGAATTTTCCGCTTCATTACTCCAGTCTTCAGTGTCACCTGATCCTTCAGAAATCATTCTAATATGATGATTTAGTGCTCGAGAATCATTTCTTATTTTTTAGCAATGATGAAAACAGTTGTGCTGCTTAATATTTGTATTAATATATATATATATATATATATATATATATATATTATATTCTTACCCAAAACTTTTGAATGTTATATGTACATGATCTGTTCTGCTCATTAAAAGGAAAGACTGAATATAGCGCATATTTCATAATGGCACTGTACACCTACAATGAAGATGAAGAACCTCGACCTTCAGTCATCAGTGTCCGAATGTTTAGTGTTCATCTTATACTTCTGCACATCATAGAAATCCAGGAAGTGGAATGAGACTCAGAGACCTCGACCCAGGTGCTTCTGGTTTCCCAGGAATGGTTAAACAACCAAACGAGAGGAAACGCTCATCTCCTCACGTTCACTCCAGCTGTGCTTTGTCTGCTGGCTGCATCTTTTTAAGGAAATCTAAACCAGCTGCCAACTCGCAGGTCACCACTCCTGCTCCAGCTCAACCTGTGTAGGCAGACTTTCTGGATAAGAGATATGCAGACTATTATATAAACAGAGGTGCTGAGTTTTATCCCTAATCTTGTTTCTTTTGTAAACCTAGCATCACCAACTGTTGGGGATTATCTCAAGGGTTTTGGGGGGTTATGTTTTGGTTTGTTGCAAAACACAAAGTTTTTCCACCCCAGTTAGTGAAGGTAATATTTTTAAAGACAGAATGGTTAACAAAAGGTCATCCACATCCAGCTTAGTTTGTATCACATTTATTTATTTATTTTTTATCCTTTCTTTGGTGAAAGTAGTTGACTACATTGCCTGTTTGTGCATTTTCTCAACTAAATTAGCCGTAAGTAAAAAAAAAAAAAAAACCTAGTTGAACGTTGACCTTTTTGTAGAGTCCATCAGGAGTTGGACTGGAGATTTTGAGGTTTGAGAGCATGAATTGAGTCCAGCTGCCTCAGGAAAGCCTGTTAGGTGATGTGAGAACTGGTTTAGACTCTCAAGGTTTAGGCTGCAGCACATCCAGGAAAACCAGTGGGACAATGAGCCTTAGGCTAGACTGTTAAAACTGTTCGACCTCAGCTGAATGAGATGCAAAAAAAAGTGTTTTGTTATGGTGTATGTTGGTTTGTGGGAGGGCTTGATGGTATGCTTGTATGCAGTGGGATGATAGATGGATGGAAGTGGAAGGATGGAGGGTGAGAGAGAGATAGAGAGAGGGAGCAGAAGAGGACTGTAAAAGCCAGTGGCAGGTTTACATGGGATTACTTCCTGCAGAGTCTGCATTCTTTGACTTGAAATGGAGAGAAAGCTTCTTATAGCTTAAGAGCTTACTACACCGCTCAGAACAACGCAGAAAAACAATAACACAACACACATGAACACATACACACACATTACAAAAAAAAACACACAGCTGTAGTTTCAAAATGTGAAAGAAAATTGAGTCAAAAAAATCTCCAGTAAAGAGTTTTACCTCAATTCATTAGTGAGTATTATTCACACCTCATTAAATGCAAGCACTTAGGACATAATTCCACTGTGAGGTACTTATTCATTATTTTTGATGGGTCTTTAATGTTAATGTATTGTTATATAGGTATTCCAACAGTGTAAATACTGTGGTTTTGTTTCAACGTCTGTACTTAGTCCAATAATCATTTTTTATTTCCATTAATCCTCTGGCTCAAGTCCCAAGACAAGCATCAGATCTACTGTGTTTTTGTTGTTGTTGTGCTAACAGAATTGATCCTCAGGGATGAGCCATGTGTATTGATTATCCGTCGATGCCTGTAACAGATTCCCTTCTTTACGCAAACACACTGTCTAGACTAGAGCAATGATTCCCAACTGGTTCCAATCTGATTTGCAATCAAAATCACAATAAAAACATTCAAGTTATGTGTAAAATAACAAAATTACACTTAATACATTTAAAAAAAAAACATGATTACATTAATAATATATTACATTTTTAATGTGATTAATATTAATTCAAATAATTTTAATGATAACACTAAATTATATCCAATATGACTTAAAAGTAGGGATGCATAAATATATTGGCAACATATTGGTTATTATCAGTATTGCACAATCTTTAATGGTTTCTAGTATGTTTATATCATTTCAGCCAGAATTTTAAATATTGGTGCATCCCTATAGTTAAAAGGAACACATTTGTGTTTTGCTGTTGATGGAGTACATATGTTTCTAATGGCCGCTGAATGCTTTAATCTTCACAGAGAACACTGTTCCTCATGAACTCTTCACACCGTTGCTCATCGGTTTTGTTGCCGCAGCTGTTATCCTTGTTCTCATCCTTATCGTGCTGTCCTACAAATACATGCAGGTAAAGTGTCATTCATTACATATAGCTTGTCTTCCTACACATGAAGTTTATGCATGCTGACTCTGAGGTGTTTTACTTTCACCCTATTATAGTAATAAATATTGTAACCTAATTGTTATTCTATAGCGTAACTTGTTTTTGGTTATTTGATATTAAGCTTGATCCTCAAATTCAACGCAATTTACCTGTCACACCTGGCAGCCCTCTCGCACTTCAGGGAAACTCTGAAACAATAAACACTCAAGTAAAAAAAATTATTTACTTAGCATGTCATAAGACCTGATGCTTCACCGTGCAGTTTCACACTGTTGCACAGGAGAGCAATCGGCTATATATGTACACACACATGCACACACCAAATTACTGTTCACATTTGTGTTTGAATCATTTATGTGCATTTACACTAAACTTTTATTAGTGGACTCTGTTTACTTTTGTCTATCAGAGCACCTTTTTACACTTGCAGTAACTGGATCTAAAAGGTTGTTTATGCTTGTCTGGCAACGTCGCTCATTGTTTATGTCTTCCCCCATCCCTCTTTCTTTCTCTCTCTCCCTCTCTCATTTCTGTCTCCAACAGAAACCTAAATACCAAATACAGTGGAAAGTCATAGAAGGTATTCATGGAAATAGCTACGTGTACATTGACCCTACCCAGCTTCCATACGACCACCTGTGGGAGTTTCCCAGAGATAAGCTGCGTTTTGGTGAGTGAAGTTCCTGAATCGGTCTGCTTTGATTTGTTGGGCCTCGTAAATCATATTCCAAATCATCTTTCCACTTTCTTTTTTTTCCAATTTATTTTGTTTCTACGTTATGTTTGGAAATGTTTACAAGGTTCAATGCACCAAAAAGCATAAAAGCCTTTTGAATTTATTGACAGTTTATTGACACGCTAGCACCTTGTGACATACAGTGGTATCATATCTCCCCCATGAAGGAATAGCCGTATCCGTCAACAAACAGGATCCAACAGGATCTAGCATATCACGCTTCCCCACAAGCCACACCTCCTTGATTCAAAAACAAGTTGATGTTCCAGCTGAAAACTGGATTTGGACCAGTTTCCAGGCTGATCCATTGATTGTAAACAACTTTATCAGGGAAAAGTGAAATTGATCCGTTCATGCTGTATCAATTTTCTGAATCAGTTTTGCCTCCTTGCATCCCCAGGAAAAACTCTAGGATCTGGAGCATTTGGGAAGGTGGTGGAGGCCACTGCTTATGGGATGTCCAAAGCAGACACTGTGATGACCGTAGCTGTGAAGATGCTCAAACGTGAGTGAAAAGCAACAGAGACCATGTTCATAATCTTGAAATACGAGTAGCACAGTGACACCAAGGTGTGTTTAACCAGCATGTTTATTTAAGCAAATAAGGCAGTGTGTAATGACACACCAGAAAGTATACAAACATGCATGATTTGAAGAAAGGAGGTTAAACATTTCCAGTAAGCCACAATATTTGGTTCCCTGAACATTCTGGGAATAATGTTGGTTTATGGTTTTAAACAATAAAACATAAAAAGAGTGTTCTCAGAACAATAACCAAAAGGGAACCATACACTAACAATAGGGGAACATTCTCTCTGTGTATTTTGATGTATTACTTTAAATAAATTGTGATGTTGTTAATTGTTGTTTTATTAATGCTTTTATTTGTCTTGGTCTTTTTTCCCACAGCAAGTGCCCATGCCACTGAGAAAGAGGCTCTGATGTCTGAGCTAAAGGTGCTTAGTTATCTTGGCAACCATATTAACATTGTCAACCTGCTAGGGGCCTGCACTGTAGGAGGTGAGAGGCTAAGGCTAGATATTATTTTTCCAGGTTTGTGTGTATAGTGTTGTTCTTCATTACTGAACTGGTCTGTTGCACAGGTCCAACGCTAGTTATAACGGAGTACTGCTGTTTTGGTGACCTGTTGAACTTCCTGCGCAGAAGGAGAGAATCCTTCTACTTCTCTACACTGGGAGAAGACTCTTACTATAGGAACATCATGCTGCAGCCAGAACCAAAGTAAGTATGATCAATGCAACTGGTAGTTACCTGTAGTTATGAAAGTCATGATCAATGCAACTGTGAAAGTGTGAAGTGCTTTTGGGTTCACTAAAAAGGGTTAATGTTTGATCACAGTGAGAGCAGGAATGGATACATGACCATGAAGCCATCTGTATTGGGAATTCTGTCCTCAGAAAACAGAAGATCACTTAATAAAGGTTGGATCAATGTCTTGTGTCTTCTCATATCTTTTCTTTCCTGTTTTCTTGTCATCTAATCTCTTCTTGTCTCGTTTCATCTTGTCCTCTTCTTTTTCTTTCCTCTTGTTTTTTCTCTCTGGTCTCATCTCTTTTTGTCTCAGACTCTCATCTTGTCTTGACCCTTATGTCTCATCTATTCTCCTTCCTTTCTCTTTTCTTTTCTGTTATCTTCTTTTCTTCTTGTCTTGTCTTTTCTGATCTGTTATCTCATCTCTTCTCATCCCCTTTTCTAGTCTTCTCTCCTTTTCTCGTCTCATCTCCCCTTCTGTCTCTCTTCTTATGTCTTCTCTTTTCTTATCTTCTTCATCTCTTATTTTTTCTCTCATCTTGTTATGTCCTTCTTTTCAGTTGTCTTCTCATCTCTTCTCATGTCATCTCATCTCTTGGTCTTGTGCCTTCTGATCTCATTTCATCTCTTCTTGTCTCACCTCCTCTTGTCTCGTGCCTTCTCTTCTTGCCCTGTCTCTTCTCATGTCATCTCATCTCTTTTCTTGTCTCATTTCATCTGGTTTTGTCTTGTGCCTTGTCTTCTATTCTTGTCTGTTCTCGTCTTGTCTCACCTTGCACCTTCTTTTCTCGTCTCAGCTCTTTTGTCTCATCTTATCTTGTCCCTTCTTGTCTATTCTTAACAGAATTTGTCACCCCTTTAGGTGATTCATACAGTGATACGGATGCCGTCAGTGAGATTCTGCAGGAAGATGGCTTGACTCTGGACACTGAGGATCTTCTTAGCTTCTCCTACCAAGTAGCCAAAGGGATGGATTTTCTGGCATCCAAGAACGTAAGTGTTTTTTGTTTTTTTTTGCTTTCGTTCTTTCTGACGGATGGTGAGTTTTATATTCCGAGTGTTTGCAGTAATCCCATACTGCAGATCTTGTCTCTTTTCCTCTACAATGCCACTGGCTCACATTCCATTACCTCTGCCCAGTCCTAGATCGGGTTACACAAAGTCATGCACAAATGCACACAAGTTGTCAAGCACATGCACACACTCATTCACAGAGGGTCATGCCGAGAAATATCACATTTCCCCTCTTGGTCAGTAGGTCCAGTATTCAATTTAGTGGAAGGAAACTAAATTAGTCCCGCTGTTAAGTGGGCATGTGAGTTTTCTGTCAGTGAATTCATTTCAGCACCTCAACGCTAACTTAGAATAATGGTATGTTCAACACTTTTTTGCTAATGAGGTTTTGAATATTGGCACTGCTATTGTAAATATGTGACAGTCCTGACATATGAAAGCAATATTAAGCAAAACCTTTACAAGGGAAGCCAGTCCACTTGATGGTCATTTTGTTAGTCCCTCCCGGACACTAAATTCTATGCAGGTAACAGGCATACAAGTACAGCTTCTATCTACTTGAATTGCGAAAGGCAGAAATCACAAAAACTGTTTGTCATGGTTACGTTTCAATAACATATTTTCAAATCAGCAATTAAATCTGACCACAGTTGTATCGTAAAATTAGCTTCTTTTGCTCAAATCACGATAAAAAACAAGACATCCATTAATACGGCCAGTTTCTTCCATTAATTTTTCTACAGTATAAGTGGTCCGTCTCCATCCCTTGTACTGTCTCTGATTTAATACATAATATATTAGTGTGTATGATGGCAAGTATTTCTTCATGTGTGTTTATTGTATGTGTGTTTGTGCAGTGTATTCACAGAGACCTGGCAGCCAGGAACATTCTCCTCACCCAAGGCCGAGTGGCCAAGATCTGTGACTTTGGACTAGCCCGAGACATCACTACTGACTCAAACTATGTTGTCAAGGGCAATGTGAGTATAAACTGTCATTACATGTGACATATAAACAACTTTAACCTTAACTTTATTTTATTTGTAGATTTTCCCACTAGGTTTTGCATGTCACACTGACTGTACACCAATTAACGGATTAAGTGAATAGTCAAGCACAGATCATAGTTTTCTTACGTGATGCTTGCCATTTAGGAACCACAGCTTAACTATACATAATCATGAAAAGCTGTGGAAAAAAGAATGTGTAATTGGAGGCTTTTACTTTGCTTTGATGCACTGCTAATGGCTGTCATCCAACAGTGTCAAACCCCTCTTCTTAAATCTATTCTGTGGGTGTTTTATCCAAAGAGCTTACTGTGAAGAAATCCCTGCTAAAGCAAAATGACAATGTTTAGTTTGAAATACAAGAGCTTGTATTCATGTTCATGTCTTACAATGGCAAGAGATTGATGCAAAAGAAGCCGGGAACAGGGTAATTTCTGCAATTTTAAAACAGTTGATTTATTTTCCAGAATTTTTATAAAGCAGAATGCTAATGTTGCTATTATATTCTACTTCTCCATTTGCATCCTGGATTCATGGTCTATAAGAAGCCCAAAGCGACAAACAGTCAAGCAAACTTGGACTACAGTGTTGATAGTCTTTGAGTCCGTATTCTTTTTGTATATTTATTCTGCAACCAAGTCAGGTATTGTCAATCTACCGCTTGCTAACTAGAACAAAACTGTATGATTGAGGTTTCCAAGCACAGCTTTTGATTGTAAATTGTCTCAGTGGTAGTCACAGACTGAATCCTTCAAGTAAAGTGTGTTGTACTGCATGCCTTCATGCTCTACCTATGTGGTTAAGGAAGGAATGTATTTAATGAGGATATTCTCTGCACAGGCCCGTCTTCCAGTGAAGTGGATGTCCCCCGAGAGCATCTTTGAGTGTGTGTACACCTTTGAGAGTGATGTTTGGTCTTATGGCATCCTGCTGTGGGAGATCTTCTCCCTCGGTAAGTTAAACTATCTCAGAATTATTTTGACTTGGCATGATATACTGCTTCAAAATATCCAAATCCAAATATTGATAATGTGCGTCTTTAGGGAGTAGTCCTTACCCGGGCATGCCTGTGGACTCCAAATTCTATAAGATGATCAAGGAAGGATACCGAATGGAGTCGCCAGAGTTTTCCCCGAGTGAAATGTAAGACTGAACTTTAATTAGTTGAAATATATTTATGCAGTTAAAAACATACGATATTGGCAGCATTTTCACACTAAAACAATGTTCCAAGGTTATTTTCGTAAACGAAAACTGAAACTAAAACATTTTCGACACAACTGAAATAAAATAGAAATTTCAACTTAAATGAAAAACTAAAATGAAACGAAACTAACAACAATTACTGAAAACTAACTGAAATAAAATAATAATTAGCAAAAATAAATAATTGTTTTCGTAATTAATAAGCTCTCATCCTGTACCGGAAAATCACGTTTTCCATTGGACTTTATTTTTCAATTTAAATGATGTTTTTCAGCCCTAAGAATGGCCATTAAGTATTTCCACCATGCCTAGACCATATGCAAATACAGCTGTACCTTAATTCCAGGTAATATAACCATCTCATGTGAAACTTAATGATAAACAAAATACCACATATATTAGACAGCATACCACACTGAGCAGAAAACGGAAAAAACAAATAGCATATCTAGCCCACAAATAGACTTACATTTTCAGAGTAGAAGTAAACTAAATGTCTGGTCTGAATAGAACATATGAGCATGGGTATAACTATGAGTATATGATATTAAAATATACAATAGACAAAAAGGATAAATGGATCAATACCAGAAAAATATTTGAAAGGATTAATCATAGAAATAACCATAAAATAACAATAATTTTTTCTTTCTTATACACCACATGTTTAACAAGATTTCATCCATAATATGAATGAGTATGAATGAATAATTTTTACTTTTAAATGTTTGGATTTGTTTGGTTCTTTGTTCAATCTCAAGCAATTATTTTATTTTTATTATTAAGAGGTTTGCACAAGAGTTAACTGTAAACTGCAAACATTAAACTTTCCTGAAATTAAATGTCTTTAACGGGAAGTGTCCTGTTTACTCTGCTAAACTATAATTACTAAAACTGAAACTAAATATATAAAAACTAAATAGAAATGTGTTCACAAAAGAAAAACTAAACTGAAACTAACAAAACCATTAAACAAACTTATTAAAACTAGACTGAAATTTATAGGAAATTTGAAAATAATATTAAAACAAAAATTAATTTAAAAATGCAAAACTATTATAACCTTGCAATGTTCCCAATAAAACCAGCGCCGCTTGTGTTGTTGTTTCAGGTACGAGATCATGCACTCATGCTGGGACGCCGACCCCTTCAAGAGACCCTCATTTACCAAGATAGTGGAGAAAATCGAACAGCAAATCTCAGACAGCACCAAACATGTATGTCTCTTATTTTTTCCTTTTTAGAACACAAAACATTGTAAACATGCATGGATCAATTGCATGATGCTAGTTTTTTTATTTGAATCTATTAATTTTTTTAAAGTATATTGAAAATGCAGTTTATGCAATGATTTGAAAAACATATTTTTAATTCCTGAATTAAAATTTGTCTTTTGGAGGGTGGAGCATAAAGCCGAAAAAGAAAGAGATACAAGTGTCCTGATATACTAATGAAGAAAAAAGCCTCATTAAAAGAATGAAATCTTTATTAATTGTGTTAATATTTGTAAAAAAAATCAAAACAAAAAAAATACATGAAGCATACAAAAATGATATCATAGAGAAGACCCCCGCATGACTGTCAAAGTGTCATAAGATATCAGAAATAATTAGATCTTTTAATGATAAGGCAAGGTTAGTTCAGGTTGTGAAATGCCATGGTGTGTGACTCCCTAACAACATTAAAGGTGCAATAGGGGATCTGGGAAATGCTAACTTTAGCCTGCTAGCATACGATCGCACCCTCCCTGCAAATCGCAGTCCAAAGCCACGCCTCAGCCAAAACACATGAACGCACACAGACCAGAAGCGAGTTGACCTCAGACAACCTTATTGGATTATATCATGTATTAGGGGTGTGCCAAAAAATCGATTCACAGAAGAATCTAGATTCTCATTTGCAACGATTCAGAATCGATCTGAAATGTCCAAGAATCGATTTAATAAATAAATAAAATCAGCTGGCTGTTCGCCTCCATTTTTGTAACTATAGCCTATACGGGACGTCCGGACGTCATGCACGCAGCCGGTTTTTGAACGTGAGCGGCAAATCAGAGGAAGCAAATATGGATGCTTTTATAGAGCTTCTGATGCTTCTAAATATGATGCTTCTACATTCATTCTGCCGTGGCGGGCCGCCACACCTAAAATAATCCCGCCACGGCTGCAGCTTCTCAGTGAGGTCCGATATTAATGTGCATATTGTGTTTTTGTTAAGCTAAAGGCATAAAAAACATTGTAAAGCACCATAAAGTGTTCGCACTATATTCCAAGACTTCTAAAGTCATTCAATAGCATAATGTGAGGTAAAAATGAATATTTAAGTCGTTAGTTAAAGTTAATGGAAACTCATCTCTCCTCAGTCATTCTCCATTCAGCATTCACACAGCGCGTCGCGTTATAGCGTTTTCTAAATCATAATCCTTTCTCCTGTCTGTTAGATTACAGCACTGGAGAGCGCTATGAATTGTTCTTCATCCGCACTGTAACTGAAATTTAAAACTGTTAAAAGAAAATGCTCAATAAACTGTTGCAAATATATAATACATTAAGCATAGATAGACAGATATAATCTCTTCGCTTTGTGCTTTGAACTTTTCAATCCGGAGCGCTGCGCGCTGTGACTTCGCGTTGCTTCAAGTGCATCACTCTGCGCACGGGACGCGCATAATCGCTTTGCCGCTCTTATTCGAGCCTTTCATGTTATAATGTTATAATGCTTAGGGGAGGTTTAAACACCTGGGGTAAGGGGGCGTGGCCAATGGCAATCACTCATGGGCCACGCCCCTCCCCCTGGCGAAATGGGCCTGCCACCATGAAAAAATCCTAGAGGAAACACTGGTCTCCGTTTGTCATTCTGTATAGCAAAGCAGATGAGAGTAGATCATGATCAGAAACCCGATTAGAAATCATTATGGATAAAATCGAATCGTTTTAAATCGAAAATCTTTTTGAATCGAAAATCGATTTTGAATCGAATCGTGGCCTCAAGAATCGGAATCGAATTGAATCGTGAGATGGTAAAAGATTCCCACCCCTATCATGTATCATTCACTTGTGAGAAAACTTTACAGTACAGTGAGTATGATGTATGTCTGTGCCTGTTGTTCATGCAGAAATCATACGTCATCAGCGGCATTGCATGCGTGGTATGCAAAAACACGTTGACTGACGGAGCACATGCTATCGTTTAATTCGGACCGAATGCGATGATCGAACGAACATTTTATGGTCCTACGCCTTCCACAGACGATATATATTTCTAAAAATACATTTAGAACTCTTAACATAGTGATTGCTATCAGTATATGAGGAGACTTTCAACCAGCATAACAAAAAAAAAATTCTGTAGAGAATCACCCATTGCACCTTTAATTAATAATTCATGATATTTGTATACTTTTTACCTTGAAAATATATTTAAAAGCAGTTTTGAAAATTAGTCACATGTATTCATGGTGTAAAGAAAATGTTCCTATTTTTTATTCTCACTTTATACCAAATTTCTACAAAAAAACAATGAACCAATGTGAATACGAAGAGTAAATTTTTCAGAATTTGACAGTAGATTTGTCCTTTTGTTTATGGTTGACACCACATCTCCTTTCTCTTCTTCAGATTTACTTAAACTTCAGCTCCAGGTTGCCTGTTGCTCCGGGGCCCCATGAGGAATCCAGTTCTCCTGTCCAGCGGCTAAACTCAGTAGGCAGTCACAGTACCGCCACTCAGCCCCTGCTGTCCAACAATGATGTCTTCTTGGAAGGGACAGGTCCACATCACCCTCCAGTGTGAAGATCTGATTCCCAGTAAAAAGCAGGCATTCTAACAGATGCCATTCATCTACTGAGACACTTCGCCTTAGCTAAGTGTCATTGTAGCTGTCTGACATGCATGAGGACTTTGGTGGAAAACACTGATCAAAAATCTCTTTTAGGATCCAAGAGCAGTCGTATTCTTTCCATTCACCTTTCTCGCAGATTGTGTATATAAGCCCTCCTGCCAGAAAGGACAGTGATGGTGTGCTTTCCTTTTACATTTCATGTATTTTTTGGAATTGTGGGACATCAAACTTTCGAGACAGCTAATAATCAATGCTGGTATCATCCCATGGTACTATATCTTCAATGTGAGTCTGCAGGAGGACTGAACTTTTTTCTTTTTTTGTAGAATCCCTTTGATTTATTATATGGGATATATAAACACAATAATGCTTCTTTTGCTAATTGTCAAGTCTTTACAAGTGACACAAGTCAAACAGGCTGTTTCAAGTCAGAGACTAGATGCAATCATGATGGATCACTATGAAACAATTGGAAATTAGACTTTCCCAAACAATCTCTGAAGTCTTGGCATTCAATTTGACGTGATCTTATAGCCGAAAATGCATTATAGGTATTTTAAGATATTGCAACACTCATGTGTTGAATATGTCAGACTGTCAGTGGTAAAAGAGTAAATCACACTTATTTTACTATCAACTATTTGGCAGGTCTTTCCAATAAATTCATACATTCAAATATCAAACACAAAAGGCTATGCTATTTGGAAATATGTATAAGCAGCAATAACCCTGTAACTTTGACAGCATGATCATGTTGCTGCACAAGCCAAAAACAAGCTACTTGATGCATGTTGCATTTGGAATAGTATTTTGTCAGTTGGCAGCTGAATCTCTAAGACGTTTTAAGTTTAAATAGACCAAATTAAGGTACATTTCAGTTCGCTGTCAGGAAAGGTGTCGAGACACGAAGAGGTAATCCATCAAAGTTCATTGTTTACTTTAAACACTCAGCGATATTTTGATTCCACAGCAGTATTATATTATTGGCGTGTGTTGTATTCTCCTTTTCCAGGAAATGTAATTTGGGACAGCAAAATTATCCATTCAAGCAGTAATTCAAGCTTGACGTATCAAACTTTTAGACAGTGTTTCTTTTAGGGATCACTTTAAACAGTTTCTTCCTCTTCTCCTGTGTGTTTTAAGGAAACTATTTGCTAAATAGAATACTTATTTCATTTGTATGGCACCGACATAGCTTGTTTCAACACACTGAACATGCTTATTTGAGTAGTTTTATGATGTGGTTCCAGAATGGTCGACTGTAGAAGATTAGTAGCTTCTGTAGCATTGGTTCTGTTCTTTATTCCAGAAAAAAAAATGGAAGTTATTCCACATTGTATCTTTCATTAAACTGGAAGTGTAGTGCTCTTTTGTATATTCGAATGGTTTTTCTAGCTTCTGTTGCGTTTAATTTTGTGCATAAAAAGTACGGTGGGGCTCTGGTTTCAAGGAGAGCTTTCTTGTGTTTGTGGAAATCGCCGGTTATCATTTCCTACAGACTTGACTCAGTTACTCTGACTTCTACTTACCAACTGTTGTGCCTGAAATGTTTTCTCTGCTCTTTAGCCAGTGAGAATCGTGCAGTTGAAGGTTGAGCCAATAGAAAGCTGCTGCTGCTGCTGTGTAGAAATGGGTGCCAATGGCTTCTTGATCTCTGTAGGATTAGCCAATGAAGGATCTGTTTACTTGGATCTGTTTACTGTTTACTATCTGTTTACACCATGCCTTTGGTGTGAGAGACCTGGGTTCGAATCCACTGCGAGTCACCAATGTGTCCCTGAGCAAGACACTTAACCCCTAGTTGCTCCAGAGGCGTGCGACCTCTGACATATATAGCAGTTGTAAGTCGCTTTGGATAAAAGCGTCAGCTAAATGAATAAAAATGAAAAATGAAAAAAAATCTGCCAATAGACGGGTGGCTTTTAGACCTAGGGCAAAAAGAGTGGCTTTCTGTTACTTAGATGAGCCAATAGGATTCTCATTCCACTGCCAAAAGGAAAGATCGCAGAGTATTCGTCCGAATATGAGCTACGTACTGAATGATTCAGTCGACACCAACCGCAGTACTCATAGCTGTGCAAACATCAGTAGTCTGGGCACTCAGTCAGTAGCTCGTTTTCCAGGTCTCCCTCTGTTCTTTGTGTCCAGCTGCTTCCTCCGGCGGATGTCTCACTTCCACAAAGACTCAGCCGGGGAGATCCAACTCAGCCCGTATCCCATCTCCACCGCTCCTTTTCGCCACACTGGGACATTGTTCCTGTTGTGCACTGGCTTTTGCCTGCATTTGCGCTAATGAGTTTTGCGCGTCTGTGTGAGCGTGTATGAATGTGTAAATGCAGGTCATTTGCTGTTAAAATACCAGAGCACTGATGGGTTCCTCCAGTAGAACGACTGTAGTTAATGAACTTCAGATTGTCTGAATTATAGAGCTGAAGCAATCGATGTTCAGCCGCTACATACTGTTCGCTACATCACTGTTTGCTCTTTTCTTTTATGTAAATACTATATATATATGTAAATCAAAATGTTGCTTCTTGTTTTGTTATCACGGTACGTTCTCTCATGTGCTGCATATATTTTTGTATGTTATAGTTTGTCACTTTCATGTAATTTCACGTTATCATCTTCTGTCATTATTTTGCCTCTTGATTCATTTATTCACAAGTGCAGTTTTCAGACACACCAGGTACAATTGGTTATATATTTAATCCATTTATATTATATTCAGCGTTGCTTGTCGTTTCAGTATTTTTCAGTGTTTGCATTATCGATGAAAGGAGGAACACATGAAAATAAACACAGATGGTGCAGGAATCCCATTTGTGACCGCATAGTCACTACAGTTCTCATTTGCATTTTGAAATGATTGAAAAGTGTTTTGCCCCATAAAAGATTGTTTAATGTATTTTATTGTATATTTATTTTACAGTTTTTATTTTGAAGACAAATGTGCAAATCCTGTGTGTAGCTCATGTTACTTCAGTCTGTAAATAAATAACAAACTATGAATCTTGCAATTATTAAGATTATTAGCTTCAAGTTTTTTTTTTTTTGCCATCATGGAGCAATATTATTCTCCATAATATTATTCTTTAAAAAAAATGAAAAAAAAAAAACATTAAGACTTTACTTTGAAAACTAAATGTTTGAGAAAAAAAGAAATAATTACAGTTGAAAATAGACTACAGGTGTTTTCAAAAGATCTTCAAGGGGGTCCATTGAAAAGTAAAAAGAAGTACAAAAAATATACGTAAAAAAAAAAATGTCCTTTTTAAAATGTTACTGTTTTATTCTGAAATCATAATTAATTTATTAATTGACAGCCATCATTTTATGTATAAATGTCTCTTCAGTGTTTAGCTTCTGATGAGTGTATATTTATTTATTTATTTATTATTAACAGTATAAATGGGTCTTTTTATACATGAAACAGCCTTATAAATGCTGCTCTCATATATTTGGAAAAGTAATTTTCAGTAAAAAATGATACTTTTAACAGTGTGTCCCATTTTAGTATATTCTTGAAATAAACGCTATCAAACTGTCTCTATATAGTCTTCCACCAAATGATTTTGGGCCATATTGTCAGCCATCTGGGGGAGCATGCAGTACAGTTTCTGCAGATTGCAGCAAATGCAACTGTCTGAAGAAATTATGTCTCATTTATGATTATGCCCAATGAGCTGTAAAATATGTTATGGTCTGAGACAGGGACTGTGATTTTGGCTTTGATGCAGATCTGGACATCGGTTTCTAATGGGCCACAGACATGAATGCACGTTACGAGTTTTGTTTAAATTGTTCAGTTAAATTGTTTATTTGAAGCCCTTAACAGTTGGTTGAAGTGCTTTGTGTATATTTTGGAAGATCTTAGCTGGTACTTGTGCTCTGTGTTGTCTTGAAGACAACTCACAGCTCTCTGAGCTTGTGAATCCCAGCACAGTCAGAGTTTATTGTTCACATATCTGATAAGAAGCAAAGGATTTCCCACTATTGAAGAGGACCAAATATACATACAGTGAGTCAGCAGCACCTGAGGACTTCACTCACTGCCCAGCCGAAAGAAAAAGAGGGAACAAGTGAATAAAGATTTACAACACAACACAGTTTTGTTGTGAGACAAGAAACGCCTGCAGTGAACTCCAGATGTTGAAGTGATAATATTTACTTCAACCTGAAGTGTGTAATTTCCATTGGCGCCACTAAAAGAAATTGCAAAAATAATGACAAAGGACACTCAGACTCATGGTCTTGCTGTTCCATTATCTCCATCATGACACAAATACACACTGTAATCCTTGAAATGTGAAGAATTTTAAAACTTTTGACTCTAGCTACAAAAATATATTTTGAAAAATACATCCCTTATGTCTTTGTATGTTGCTGTAAAACTACTTTTAGAGTGCACTTTAGTCGGAGTGGTTTCTAATGAGCGTCACCTTCCTGTGGTTTTTGTGGCAATGCTGACAGTTTGACCTGTTCAATGTGCTCAGAGCAGGACAGGGAAGGTGGCAGGGCTGGAGGGGTTTATGAAAGAAGTGATGAAAAGTGAAGATGAAGAAATGCAGTGTGGAGATGGAAAGAGGAGGAGTCTTAAAGGGATAGTTCACCCAAAAATGAAAATTAGCCCATGATTTACTCACCCTCAAGTCATCATAGGTGTATGACATTCTTCTTTCAAACGAAGCCATTTTTAGAGTTGTTTTGTCTGAGAGACACACATAAAAGTAAAGACTCATAACTCCAAATCTATAACAAGGAGAGTCAAAAGGCTGGTATCGTTTGATAGAACACTTTTAAATTTTTTTTGAAAATATAAATTACATTACATTTAGACATTCTCCTGCTGAGAAACTCCCGAGAAAAGACAAAAAATATATATATAATTTTTATTATGATTTTGCATATCTTTCTTGTTTGGCATGTAATAACTCTGGAAGGAAATACGGTAGCTGAAATTATTATTATTATTTTTTTTTGATGAAGTCCCTCTACACGTGAGCTGCATCTGGATCGAATTTTGTGGTTATAGAATAAAGCACTCAAAAGTTACAGCATTCGGA